CCCCCCCCCCAGCCGCTCCCTCCGCTGCACTTTGACCTTCGGCTCGTCAGGGTGGTGGTTTCATGGAGTGCAAAGTTGTGATTTTTCCCCCCCTTTCTCCTTCTCTGACTGGGATGTCTCCTCGCAACGGCGCCGGAACCCGAGACTCCCCTGCCCCTGCCAGCTCCTTTTCGGGCGCGGCCAGCCCTGAGCTCTGAGGAGCGACCCCCGAGTTTAGAGGAATTTATTCTTGCTTTAGTGTTGTTGGTTGTGGATTTGAGACTTGGGTGACACGCGAGGTGAGTCTCGAGTGCAAGAATAGGTGCGAGGAGATCCCCTCGGCCGGAGAAACGGTCGTGTGTCTAACAGGAAGCTCCTGCGCTGCGGAGCTGGGCGTTTGCAGACGGTCAGCTGCTGCCACCCAGCCCTCCGCAGGCTGCTGTCCTGTGTTCCTTCCCCCGGGACATCTGGGACCCAAGGCCCTTCTAAGCTTGTGTTACAGTTGGAGGGAAATTGACCTGTGAGGGTAGTGGTAGAGTTTTGGGGCGTGCGGACTGGTGGTTGTAATTTCTTAAAGGGGTTTGGAAAAGAGAAACCCCGTTCTTGCGGGGCGGTTGAAAGTCACTCCAGTTTCTCAAGTTGCTACCGATTGAAGACTTTAGCTCAGATCAGAACATTGTATTAATTACTAAGAAACCTGTGCAATGGTTAAATGTTACCCTAAAATGTTAGTTAAGGCAACCCACCTCTTAATCACTGCCTTTATTCTGGGAGAGCGAACCGAAGTTAGAAGGTGAACACGCGCACGCTGACTCCAAAGAGGAAAATGTAAAACTCAGTTTTTCTGAAGGTTAAATGGAATCCCTATTCTAGATATTCAGACGAGTATCACAGTTTTGTGCTCTTGACTTTTCCTTTTATTTAAATTGTAAAACAATGGAATTATTTTATGTTCAGTTGTAAAAGTTTAAGACTGCCTTTTTATATTCCTCACGTACTTTATGTTCAGATCAAGGACAACTGGCCAGTTGGTTGATTACTTACTTTCTTCTCCATATTGCATTCTAAGTCTATGAATATTTGTCTGTTGTTAGGCATTATAAATCTTCCAGCATGGGCGGGGAGTTGTTGGGAGTGGCAGTCCTGTATCTGAATGATCTGGGATTGTTTCAAACTTGTCATATCTCTTTTTCCCCAGATTCTAAGTAAGCCTGCTCTTAAGAATTTGTTTTAATAAGGCCCTCTTGTCAGGTGGTTATAAGGTGAAGCTAGTGAAATTTAAGCCTTGGAGCCGTTCATTTGCTTAGTTCTCTGGCAGCATTGGGAGTTGCTGGAGTTGTAGATGTTCTAGGTGGGAAGGAAATGACAGGTTGCAACCAGAAGCATTTCTAAATATGCATTTCTGGTAAATAGCCTAAAGCTATCTCAGAATAATGGATCTAGATTTCCATGGATGTAATCATTTATTAAGATTTCTTTTCTCATTCTAAATAAAAATTTGTTTTTCTACCTAATTTTGTATTTGTAACTTTGTATTCTTTTTA